GTCCATGCCTTTCATCCACATCCACATCGGCAATGGCAATGGCATTTCATTAAAATTTCTTAAAAGTTGCGTTTTAGTTTATTGGATTGCCTTGCCTGGTGATTGACTCAAGGCATTTTTGATGTCACGTCAATTTTAAAAAGTGAAATTTTATGTTTATTTCTTTCCACAATTTTGTTACGATTTAAAGTTTAAAATATTTTATTTTATTAAAATTATTCGTTGATGAGCTTTGATGGCATTTAAGGTATGATATGCACACTTTTATTATTTACCTTAACTGATTTTATTTTATTTTATAAAAATATTTAAATATTTTAACATGAAAAACACATTTACAGGTTGTTCAAATTTAATTATATACAGAGTATTCTGTTCCGAACCAGCCTGTTTCAAACACGTGAAATGGTGTTGTGGTAGGAGAAATGAAAATGCTGGGATAAGTATAGCATATCTCTTCTAATTATCATCGAGATTTACGGCGTCAAAGGGTTATACATCCGAAAATGACCTTTAGACAAAAAAACTCTTATATCCCAAAGAGGTTTTGTTTATATATTATATAATTTGATTCCCAATATATCTTCATATTTAAATGAGTTAAAAATTTATGATGGATATTTTTAAGATTAATTTTCGATAGTTCTTACGAAAAAGATATTTCCGATTTACGGTTTTATTGATTTTGCCTCTATGAATACATATTCCTCTCTTGTGATTAATGCAAACCATGTTTTATGTCAAAGACAACTTACATCTAATTAGATGTTTAAGTTCATACAAAATAAATATCCAATAAGTTCATGAAATTCTACCACTTGATTGCCGTTAAATCCACAACAATGGGCGTTTTCGATAGATAAATCTAAATTCAATATCTCCATCTGTGAAATTTTTTGAATCCAATCGAACATTTTTAGACTAATCTAACATTTGTTTATGAATATTAGTAGACGTTTATATTTTTCATACAACGAATCTAATCACAATTTACCTGTCAAATCACATAAAACAGCTGTTAATTCTAGGGAAATCTTGTAATACTGGCAAAAAATCCAGAGTGTTACACATTTTTCCCCGAATTAACCAATTGCAAATGAAATTGCACTAAAAGTTTCTAGAAAATCAAGCTTTAGGGTTTATTAATCGTTATGTACATATAATCTAATAGCACCTAATGGAAAGATCTAAAAAACATATTGATTAAAAATTTGTTTGACGTCTCAAATATAACTGCGATTCATTTATAATTGGTGAATAAAAAGGCTGATGTGAATAAAAAATTAAAACTTATAAATTACTTCTTATTTTGGTTTCGGTACTTATCAACTGCCTATCCACTTAAAACGGAAATAGGCAATATCTCTCCAATGACGTTTTTAATTGCTACATGCCTATGAAACTAAAGGAATAATAATAATGTCACAATAATCCTCAAAGGATGCAATGACGTGGTGACAAAATCTATCTATTTATCCATCTATTTTAGTGTTTACTACTATATAGTAGTCTATATAAAAATCACTGACCATTTGATGTTTATTTGACTTCTACCTCCGGGCGGAGTATTATTACAACTGCTCTTGAAAGGATACAAGGCAGTTATTTATACACGGATTTTAATTTAAAAAAATAAATTAAATAGTTTACAATATCTGAACAATATAAAATAAAGATTACATGTGAATCAAGGATATAGTAGAAGCGGATAGCTGATGCTGATATTGTCTCTGTTCTCTTTTCAGTTCATGGTTGTGTCTATGTTTTTTAGTATGTGGAGGCTCTCTAGAGTTGTAGATGATTCATTTACTTTTGGAATAAAATGGTTTACTCTGTATATGTTTTTAACCTTCTAATGCCTAGGACCACCTTGAGGCGGGCTTGACATTTTTACGATTTACAAGACAACGAGAGATCAGAATGAAAAAAGGACTTTGGTTTTGGCTTTTTGACCTCAAATTAATCTAACCTGATTTTTTCAACTTAAATACAAAATGTGGCGCTAGAGGGTTAAGTATCCAAAATAAACATAATTTCTAAGACGGCAATCGCTTATATTTAATGTAGTTTTAATTTTTTTGCAACTTGTTATAAATAAAACAATATCGTATTACTTTCAATTTGAGACTATTTAACTGAATATTTAGCAAATATTATAAATAATTTCATAATTATATGGTTAATTGCCTTCATTACTTTCATTTCAAGCCAATAATTTCTTGCCATAAAATTGAAACTTATTAATGGCATTTTTTATGTTATTGGAAATTTTATTTTAATTGTGATTAATTTACTCCAAA